CTATTTTTAAGTAATGATGAAGCAGTTACTGAATACCAGTAAGAACACGCTTCACTACACTGACATTAGACAGTCTTTTGCTGGGTAGGCTGACCAGTTATACTGTTCACTGCTGCACTGTTCATTCTAATTTTACATTTTATTTTGCTAAGCAGCAGTTTTTTTAAAAATGTCATAGAGAACATCTGTGTGCTCTCCATCACAAAGACAGACACAAAGGCATCTGTCAGCATGAAGCTGTGTCAGCCACACGCCTGCTACATTTAATAGCCAAAAGCTGCTTATCTTTAAACTGTTTACTCAGTTTGAGCAAATACTGTGCAAGCAGAGTCCTTCTGATAGTGTCCTGCTATTCAAGGTGGAATCAGTGATACTTTTTCTAAATCAGGAAAACACAAAGCTCAAATCTCTTGCTTCCTGAAATATTAAGATAAGGGGTTAACAACATATGGTTTGTGCATTACATTTAAAACATAATGATGAGAAACTATTTCAATTATATTCCTTCTCGTTAGTTAAAAGAAAGTATAAAAAACTGGGTTTTTTGCTCTCAGGAAAAAAAAAAAAGCTTTGAGTAGTTAAAAAGTTCTCAGCCTAAAGTCAAACCTTTGTTCTCCACTGATCCACTGTAGTATCCTCAACTTTTGGTTCTTTCCTGTGGGGGTGGGGTGGAGGTGGTGGGCAGAGCACACAGCAAGGAGTGAGGATGGAAATAATGGAAAGAATTAACAATACTTGGAGATTAAAGCAAGGGCCTTTCCTTTTCCTTTTCCTTTCAAAAGGGCTCCTGCTAAGGGTACAGAAAACCTCACAATATTAGCTTCTTCAGAAGAAAACGTATGTATTCAAAATGCACCACGGGCATTGTTACAGAGTTTACAGCAGCAAAGTCCTTTCCTCTTGCTCTCATTGTTACACCTTAATTTACACTACTTTCATTTACCAAACATTTTCTCAGGTCATTAATGGCTCCTGACATTGTTCCCATTGCTGGGGTTTGTTATTCTGTTTATATACTGACATTAAAACATCAAATTTGAAAACCAAAGTAATAGAACTGCAGAGTTAAGAAAACGTAAATTAGGACTTATCTCCTGACACAGGAGCAGCCATCAGCACCTCTGATCAGCATCAGCTGGCTTCCTCCATTGAAGCCAACACATGCAGCAGCCTCTGGACTCCCACTGCTGGCAGGTGAGTCTCTAGCAGAGCCCTTCAGTACACTCACGTACATAATTTGCTCTCTTTTGCTTTGAGAAAACCTTTCTCGTAAACCAAGAAAGCAGAATAGTCCAGGGGAAAATAACACAGGAGAGTATATTTTCCTTTATTATAATACAGATGTGGCTGTCTGAATAGAGGCTATGAACAGGGTTCAGAATAATCAACCACATACATGCAAAAGGAACTTCCACTCTTAAAGGCTGCGCTGTAGACATCTAAAACATGCTATTTCAGATGTCTTCATTCTGAACCACTCCTCTGTCATTTCAGAAATTTGCTAATTTACCCTTCAGCTTCCATTCAGCACTGCCCTACACGATGCAGCGTGATGTAGTTAGGCAGACTTTGTGTTTTTGGAAAAAAGAAAGTAATAAAACAAAACCAGCCACGCAAAGCCATCACCACATGGAACATGGCGAGACTTCTCATTTTGAAAATTTCCATGAGTTCTTCTCACAACAAGAAGTACTGCTTTTGTTGTTTCCAGCCTCACAAACACACTCTGTGAGTCAGGCTGTGACCTTTCAGGATGATGCAAAATCAGCAGTAATAAATCAAGCGGTGACTTTGCTGATATGTCAGTAACTTCAGTGATTAATCCAACAAATAAACAATTTATGCCTGGAAATACAGGAAAGAGGAGTGGGATTCTCTCCCTGCTCTGCCCTGTTGTAGCTGAACTCTGGAGGCAGATTTGGTCCTACCAATTCTCACAGGAAATGCCTAGGCAAAGTCCAAGGATTAAAGTCAATAGCAGATCCACATATCATACATCATTAGAGAAAGAGAAGCTAATGAAGGGAAGAAAACATACTCTTTTTTCTATAAGAGTTTGTTCCTCTGAATGGTCATTTCATGACAGATCCCATCTTCTCAACGTTGTGTCTTTCTCTGGTGAAGATGACCACAGTTTATGCAATTTTCCCCTAAGAAAGGAGATAATTCTGCTAGCACAGGTAATTGTAGCTCACATTTCAATCCGCTGCTTTCCCCTCTTCGTATATTCTACTACATCCTTCTCTTGATTCCACGAACAGTGAAAGCAAAGCTCCCAGGTGGGGGCCTAGACTCCTTTCTTCATACTACTGTTCTGGCTGGCATAGATAGGTATCTACAACAATAGTCAAATTAACTTGCCAATGTCCATGAACGTAAAATCTGCCCAAGGCTTCAAAGTCAGCCATTGCAGACATTTCTTTGAACTGATTTTTAAACTGTAAAAGAAGAATTTCTTCCTGTGAGCTATTAATAGCACAGCAATCTATACTCAGAATGCTGATCTCCAGAGCTCCAGAGAGAAAATGAGTGTATCCAATTTGATTAGCTGGCAGAATTTAACATTTACTGCACGTATACAGAGTATAAAACAGCACAGCAGCCAAATATATGATCTTGCCTATAGAGAATCATCAGGATTTGGACTTCAGGACTTCTTTACACTATTCCACAGCAGGTAAAAAATTGGCTTTCTCTTTTAACGCATTAAGGAAAAGATACAGATAGTTGCTTTTGTATTACTTGTACAAATCTCAGTTGTTTCGTGAGGTGCTTGTCTGCACAGATACTAAGGTATAACAAACAGAGCAATATCCACGTGTTTCAGTGACTACAAAGCATTCTTGCCATGCAGTTACTTTGGTTGTGACTTACCTGAACCACTGTAAGGTAGTAACACTGATATCTCACCACAACTGTGTTATTTATTCATAGAACTTATTGAAATCACACTGCATGAGAAGACATTTCACTTGAACTTTTTCAAAAGCAAAATTAAAGTAAAAGTCAGGTTATAAATTATAAGTAACTGCATTTGGAATTAACTCTGCTCTTGAGCCATTCAGTTTCACCTTTTGAAGCGTTTCTGCATACTCACAAAACTGATGTGTTCATTTTTAAATTAAAGAGATTCCCGGAACTTGAAGGAATATAAAAAACACCCTTCTGCAATTTCCCCACCCCGCACCCAGGAAAAACAAAACAGAAACAAAAACAGTGCTGGGAGACCAGCAACAATGTTTTGAGAGCTGAGAAAACTCTGATCAACCCAACTAGTCAGATTGATGAAAAGTAGAGATTCTCTCCTTGGGAAAATTCCACTGCTTAGCTTTGCAAGCCTGATGTGTGAATGAGCCACACTACAACCTCAAACCAAAACACTCCAAAAATTTCCACACAGTATGGTGTTTAGAGAGCACATGGAACATTTATTAAGGTGTGGGATCATATAATGAAGCTTATAGACATAAAGAACCTTTGTTTGTGTGTCTAAAAGCCTACTTTAGGAAGTGGACTTCTAGAGCACATGTTAAGGCACAGATTAAGAATGTTCTCTTCCCTGAGAGTTTTAGAAAAATTGGGAGACTTTTAAGTAGCACTTATTTTTGGAACTGAACTAAAGAGAAAAGACTGCCCAACCTGTACTCCTTGTAAATCTTTGAAACCTTATAGTTAGTGCAACCCAAGAGGAAGCCCCAAAATAGAAGAAAATTGATGCTAAGTCTCTAGAGAATTTCCGATAGACAGACCCTGACCAGAAAATGAACCAAAACTCTTGGGAGGAATGTAAATTACTCAAAGCCAATGACAATACCTCTGATGAGAAAGCTCTTAAACTGGGTCATCCTTGATCCATTGCTCCTAAAGCCTCAAACAGAGAGCAAATCTCTTTATAGCTGTGTTTCCTGGCTCTCCTCCAGGTTCCTCTTCTGGCGCTTGTGCTTTTCTTCTGCCCTTCCTATCTCCCAGCTACAATGGAAACAGGGAAGGAAAAGGAAATATTAACACAGTAGGACAAAAAGAATGCCTGGAGCTTCACTACAACAGAGATGTGGGGCAGTGGGGAACCATTTCAAAGGATTTCAGTTTATTTGCTCTTCTTTAACAACTGAAGTTTCTTTACTCTTCTGTGAAGTAAGTGATTGTATATATAATGATAGATATATTTTGAACTTCATTTGTGAAAAGTTTAAGTGGGGAAAAGAGTCAATGTCTACACTGTGAAAATTTAGCAAAATGCCAACATGTCATTAACACTATGAGATAGTCCAACAGTCTACAGTTGATGGTTACTTACCTACACCTTGTACTTGGTTCATGAACAGTTCTTCGTATTTCACCCAGGAAATGTATGAAAATGACTTTATCTCCTATGAAGTACCTTTACAATAAATTATCAAAACTAACAAGAACTGTTTGCTAAAAAATAAAATAATAATAAGAAAGAACAGGTTTAATTCTTACCCCAGTCTTCCATTTTATGATCTATTCTTGCTCCTCAATTCTTCTGTTCCATTACCAAAGTCAATCTGCACCTTCCTTTTGCAAAAGAACCCAAACCTCTAATTCTAGGGCACAGAAACTTAAAATGGGAGTGCAGACCTTGGAAAACAGAACAGATGTTATTTCTAACCATTCTTAGACTGAGATTGCTAATTTATATTACTCTGCTTTCCAACTATGCTAACAACCCAGGCATAACGTGGATTTGATTCCACTTGGGAACAGAATGCACTTGATGCAAAACAACCAGTTAAAGCTTCTAGCAGTCAGATTGGTAACAGAAAACACAAGCCTCAAAACCAGAAAGTCATTTTTAAACAGTGCACCCAGTTGACTTCTTCCTTCTCCTTTTTCCTTTTACACAAAAATAAAAAATGTTCTACTGTGGCTTCTCAATAGGAGGAGCTGAATTGCTACACAAAACAGTACGTGTGCTCTAGTAGATATATATTTTTAGCACATCTACACAAGAAAGAATAAAACTGACAGAGCAGCCATTTGAAAGTTAACAACAGATTTATTTATTTCTCCTTTACACACATAAAAATTTTAAAATACATGCTTAATAGTGTAAGATTATCTTTACATGTGAAATCAGAGTCCCTTCAGAATTCTGCAACCCGGTTTAAGACAACACTGATGTCTGGCTTTGAGCATCCAAAAAAGGAGACAAATGAACTTCACTAACTCCATGACCAAACTGATTAAATTAAAAGGCTACAGTAGGCAACATTAGAGAAGAGATCTACCTGTATGATCTGTTATTCACCTGCCGTTCTATTGACTAGTTGACTCAAATGTTGGTCTTGCTATATTAGGTACTTAACCAACAGAAGACACTCTACCAAAACAAGCTCAGGCAATGGATGGGAGGGAAAGATTGTAGAGTTGGAAGGGATTTACAAGGATTGTTAAGTCTAACTCCAAACAGGGACACTCAAAATTCAAATCCTATGTCCAGTGCTGTCCAAACACTATTTGAATGCTGGCAGCTTGGGGCTATGACTTGGAGAGCCTATTCCACACCCAATAACCCTCTAGTGAAGAAATTTCCCATACCACCCAGCCTGACACTTCCTCCTCACAGTTCCATGCCATTCTCTCAGGTCCTGCCACTGTCATTAGAGAGATCAACACCTGCCACTTCACTCCCCTCGTGAGAAAGCTGTAGGCCATCACAAGCTCTCCCCTCAGTCTCCTTGATGCTCAAAAAACAAGAAGACTTTAGGCTCTCCTCATACATCTTACTGTAGGTCCTTCACCATCTTTGTGGTCCTAAAAGTGCCCTACAAAGGGGACTGTTATATCCAAAGGTGCAGCAGTGTAAAGAAATGCCTGACAGAGAATCACAGAGCCATTTGATATTTGGCAAGCTCGTAGATCCCTGCCAAATATTGGCGGTGCCCTGTCACTAAGTAAAACCCCCTTCAAATGGAAGCCAAAACTAAATGGTGGCCACTGTGTATGTGTCCTGTCTCAATTCTTCTTCCCACATTTCTGGCAGTTATGAAGAGGACAAACTTTCTTTCAAAAATAAGCGCTTTTAAAGCTCACTGCATACTACGTAAGCTGGAACCGAACATTTTGGCTTCAAAAATGTATGAAGCCACAATCATTTAAAACTATAGCAACAAAATAATTTAAAATCAATAATTTGGTCATATTCTGAAACAACATGCCATTGCATGTCCTTATGGCAAAAAAAAAAAGCCACCAAAAACAAAAACACAGCCTACTGCTAATACTCATCTATATAATCAGTGTCACAGACCTTTAAATCACATTCTTTTCCAGTATCTCAGATCAATGGGTATGCTATTATTCACTGTTCCTTGTCGATTTTTAAGCACTGTTCATCTTGACATTATCTATCAGAATCTCTTAATGACATTTCCAAATATTAGCAGCAGGAAACTAGATTATGTCATACCTGCCATTGTTGGAAATTAAACTCGAATATCTCCAGCAACAGAGAAATGCTGTGCACACACCAGTTGACTTGCTTGCTCTTCCTCCTCTTCAAATCTGAGCAAAGAGTTACAAAGAAGTCTGTTTTAAGCTTGCAGTGTTTGCTAAACAGTGCTGAACTGTTAGCAAGAAAGTTAGCAAGAAATTAAATGTTTTTCTCCTGGGATTTCTGAGAGCACTAGTCTATCAAAAGCATCAGGCAGTTGGTGAGGACGGTCCAACTATGTTCCATACATCAGCTGCTGCCCTGCATGGTTCATGAGGCAGGGTATGCATAGCTCACTCATTCTTAACTATTACAGCAGAGAAAACCACAACTACTACCTAATTTGGCACACAAGAGACATTCAACAGTAAATATTTTAATTAAAGTGGGGGAAAAAATTTTTTTTTTTTGTTTGAGTGACCAAATAATTGGAATGCTGTTACATTTATACCATCTATCATCTCAAAGCATTTCTGACTTAGTACCAAGAATAACGTGTAACCACTGCTCCAATAGCTACTGGGTGGAACTCCAGGAAGAGTTTTTCATTAACAGCATACAGGATGCCTGCATAAAGGTCATTTAGAAAATAAAGGATGCAAAGGAGACTGAACAGAAAGTTTGGGAAGGATGACTGAAATATTAAGTAAAGGAAAAAAAAGAAAGCTCATGTACACACGTACACACAGACACACACACAAAACAAAAAACAAAAACAAAAACAAAAACAAAAACAACCCCAAGAAATTACCAGGCCCTCTGTATTATTAGAAACAAAACAAAACCCTACGAAACATAGCATTTTTTTTTTTCCCAAGACTTTGGTTTAGTGCTTTCCTTTAGTGCAATGACTTTAATTATACAGTTCTTAATTGTGCCAAAGTTTGACGTGAAATAACACAGGCAGAAGAAAAACCACAACCTATGGTAGTAGTCACCAACTCCACCTCCCTGAATACACAGACCTCATTTCAGTTTTCCCTTCAGGTGCAACCACAAAGTGACTGTCCACTTGGTAAGAACTGATAAAATCAAAGCACAGCCAAAGGGACTCTGCCATACTCAGATGATGTTCTGTTGTATCCATGTCTTACAAAGTCCCAAAGCTGTTGCTATTTAAACAAAAGAACAGTGATCCTTTGCGCATGACAATAATAAATAAACGCAACGCTTTTATAGCCTGTCCCGCAGCACTACGAATAAACGATCCAGACAGACATCCAACTCCTCGCGTTCCTCTGATGACAATGATTCCTGACATTACTCTTCACGGTTTAACAGCCAACTCCTGAAGTGACGTCATGGGGAATTTTGTCCAAAGAAGAAACACAGCTGCTGAAGGTTTCCCTGTACCATGTCTGCTATAACCAGTGCTCCTCCCTGCTTTGGAGTCACTCGGCTAACAAGCAAATTTTACTCCGGGTCTTCACATTTATTTATATATGCATGGAGTGATATCACTGAAAAATATCAGTTACGGAGAAGGAAACACTGAAACATACCAAGAATCTCCTGTAGTGAGTACACACTAGTGAGGGAGCAGCAAGGGAGATCCACTTAAATCTGAAGCTCAACCAGTAGTGTGAAAACACAGTTTTTTGTTTGCTTTACGTCCAAAATAATACGGAAAATTATGCTCAGGCTCTTCTTGTTTGCCCACTGTCCCTCTCTCAACACATCAGCAGTAAATTAAGAATGCTTTGTACCAAAAGAATCTCTGCTAACACATACTTGCAATGATTTCATTCATAAAATACTTTGTGTAGAAATGCTAATCTCCTGTTTTAAGTAAACTTCAGCACTGTTGATTTCAATGATTCAAAAGGATAAAACACATTCAGTTGGTTACTTGTAATAGTCCTAGATAATCAAAAGCCCTCATTTCCCCTTCCTCTCTCAAAAAACAAAACAAAACAGAAAACAATGATGCAAGTATTAAAAGAAAAAAAACGACAGTCCCTATTTAGGAAATAGGCAATTCAAACAAAAGTTGCCAGTGATGTCATTTCATTTATACACTGCCTGAGTCACAGGTTCCTGAGGAAGTGGTAACACCTACAGAAATACTGTATGAAAGTCAGACTTCCAAACGTGAAATGAAAACAGAGACATTAATAGACAAAGCAAAACCCTCAAGCAAAATCACAACTGCCTTGCAGATTTCCATTCACTCTTGCACAAATTTGAAAGAAATTTGTCACTGGAAATTAATTTGCTTATCCATTCACACCCTTCTGCTACCTGTGAGGGGAAGACTGGGCTGAGGAGGAGATACTCACAGAGGTTGGGAAGATGGGGGAAGAAGACAGTGATTTCCTGGCTGTCAACCAGAAAACTCAGAGAAGGCAGGCAAGACTTGGAACCTTCACTGCCCAGCAGCTCTTCCAGATCCATGCTGACATGACGTGGAAACAATTTTAGCAGCATTTCTGTACACAGTTTTAGCCCACACTGGTTTGATTTAGAAAGTAAAATTATTTCAGAAATGAGAAGCCAGCTTTCATTTCAAATGCACCAAGCTCCTTCAGCACTGTGTCATCTTGCCAGAGATGCCAAACTGAAGCTTTTTAAGAGAGTACAAACATTGCACCAAAAGTAAGGAAAACATTGGTGGTTTCCTCCGTAAGAAAGAATAACGCCTCCTGTTTGTTTTTTATGTAGTGAATAAGATCATTTCACTAATAAATTAAAAAAATGAATTATTCTGGTGAGATGAAACAAAAATCAAGCGTCTGGTGCTGAAAAGCAAATAAACCTGAATTACTGGATGCTCCTGAAGGCTGCTGAAGCAGCAATCCACTGCCAAACAATAGCAGAAAGTAACTGTATGGGAAAGGGGGGAAGTTAAAAAGAATGACTGAAAAAAAATCATACTTTTTATTTGCAGCAGTAAAACATTATATGCATGTGACCTTCAGTTAGAGAGGCAAAGTCCTTTCTCCTTCATATCAACATCCTATATAAATATCTATTCAAAAAGCAAGTTGGAACAGGCATTTTGACTTCAACAGCAAACGGTAACACAGCGAATACTCCCTGCCAGCTAGGAAACAACACATCTCTTCTAGAACTCCTGACAGCCCCTTTTTATTGCCAAGCTGAAGGAAGTGCCTACAAGAAGGTACAACTGCAGGTGAGGCCTGGCCTGACTAAACTGACTAAAACACACTTAGTACTTGAAGTTCAGACAAACAGCTGCTGAGAGCTCTGACAATCTCGTCAAAGAACGTCCAAAATAATTCCATGAGATGTGAAAAAATGCTACAGTGAAGCTGCAATTGGCAGGCTGTGTTGTCGATTACTGGGGGGCAACCATCAGTACTTGAAATTATAGATGGTTGGAGTGCTCATCTTTACGCTTATCCGGGAATGAGGTTTACCTGAATTGGGAAACGAGATGAAAAATTTGTTTCTAGAGAATTTAGCAACAAATAGGTTAGAGAATACCTTACGCTACTCAGCAACACTGCTACTTCAATGTATTACTATTAATTCTTCTGGGAGTAGCTTAAGTTTCCCTTCTGCTGAGCCAATTTCCTTGGCTAGGTTAATATAGTTCTCAAGTGACTCATTCAGAAGAATTCACTACAACCTGGACAAAATACCAGTCACCGGCTGGTGGAATACAGACTGCCGTATTTCAGCTACTGCGCTTAAGAGTAAAGTGCCTACAAATTAGCCCAAGCCACAGCCCATTTTGGTGAACACTGCCCGACTTCAAACAACTCTCAGCAACACTTTGATAAAGCAATGGGTCAGAGCAACAGATTCTTTCTTTTGGTCTAGGATAACTGAGAGAAAAAAAACATGGCTACTCTTTGCTAAGCATATATTTTCTATTTTTCTACATTTTACAGATGAGAACTTACTAAAAAAAAATCAGAGAAAAAGCAGGAACTGTTAAACTCTCTGAGTCAACCTAGTATTGATGCTAGTCCAAAGGAAAGGTCCTGCTGTCCCTCCATTCCTCAATAACTACTCACCATGAAAAGTCACTGCTGTCAGTAGTACAGGACCAAAGGGTATCAATAAAAGTAAAATGAGACTGAAAACATTCTTTGTCACTAGATTGCTGTTTTGTTTGTTTGTTTAATTTCAAATCCTGTTAAGTGCTGCACAAATAAGTAAACAAACTTTAAATTTTGGTAGCTGAAGTGATAACAGAGAGCTAACGTCTACGCTAATTTCAAACCCATAGCATTACCTATGTGGTGCCACACTATTTTTAAACACCGTTAGAGCTCTGGAGAAAATCCAGGGAACTTTAATGGAAAGAGATTTGGAATTTAAATGGTAGGCAGGTTTTTCATAGGTTATGAATTTATATACTGTCAGACTGTAACAGCATGAAATTTTTCTAGGTGGTATTTCTGCCTTATACAGCTGTTAATCCAGGCCCTCTAAAAGAGAAAAGGTGCACAAAACCCTCCAACAAGAAGTTTTGTTTTGGTAGGCTATGCATGATGAGTACAATATTTGCACTGAAAGCAATTTAAAACAAGGAACAAAACGTAAAACAATTAAAGAAGCCATGTCAATGGATTTGGAAAAAAAATGGTAACAGGCTCAGGACATCTTCCAAATTATGTTTCTTAGGAAGTCTGTTAAGTTTGCCATGTTGCAAATTTTTCTTTAATGGCTTCTCTTTGGAGTGTAAATGCTTATTTGTTTCTAAGCGAAGAATTGCAAATATTACGTTATTATTTAAAAGCAAACAAGCAAGGAAGTAAACTAGCAAAACAACAACAACAAAAACCCCAAACAAACAAACAAACAAAAAAAAAACAACCTAAAAGATTAGATGTAAAAATTTGGAAAAGTAATAAGAAAAAATCCTACCATCCAGCTGCATGTTCTTTTCAGCTTTTGTGTACTTTTAATGCCAACACTGAACCAACGGAGAAGAGAATGGCTATTAACAGTGTGTTAGAGAACTGGCTGGACTTGCAGTGCAGAACAGAGATACCTTCAACTGGAAGAACAACAAAAAAAAGTTTGATTATGTGTTAGCTTGCAACATAAGTAGTATTGAAAGCATGTAAGCTGTCCTTCCTCTTCCCATAGAAAGAGAACCAGGACTATCCTTGAACTTTTAATATGTGGTTATGCTCTGAAAAGAAACCATATATAAAAATCCTTGTGGATGGCTCTGAACTGGTACTGTAAGAAACAGGCAAACTTGACTGGCATCAGAAGCTTAGTGATCTTTTCACATATAATTGACATTAATGGGAATCCTGAAAACCAAAGTCTACTTTTAGTCACTTCTCAGCTGACTTTTTTTTTTTTTTTTAAATCTGTCTTGAAAAAGAGGAAGAAAACTTAAAAAAAAGTTGGGAAATGGGTGAACGCTTCAGTCAAACGACCCAGAGCAATGCAACGATGAACTCGGTATTAGCTGTTCCAATCAGAATAGTTAGCATACACTCAATAAGAGGAAGAAACAGAAGTGCTATCATGAGACACTAAATCACAGAATGCTACACAATAGCATAATAAAAAGTTCAAAAACAAGAACTCTATCAGTAAGAGTTTTCTTTGACTATGAGAAATTAAAAGGAGAAAAATCACAAATGACAGGTGAGAAACTAAAAGAAATCACTTATACATTGAAAAAAATTCAACTTTGCTATGACTTTTACTGTATGTATTTAAGGTAAGAGAACATTATGCAGGTAGTAGAACAATAGTACTGCTGGTAAAAAAATTTCCGTCCATCTCAGTGGAGTTCCCTGAGGACGCAATACCAAACCCATACAGAGCACAAGGAAGGAACATTTTTTCCAGACTGAAGCTCAATGGCTATAAGGGCTGCAGCAATTACTAGAATTCCATTTGATGTACAAGACTACATTTCATGCTGTTGATCTCTACTGAAGCAGAATCCTCCTTTATTTCTTGGGAGTAATCAGCTTTTTAGTAATAAAAATCCTATGGTTCCATTCCTTGGTGAATTTCTATACCAAATGATCTAGGTCATCATGAATCTTTCTGCATGGGTCTAAGTGTCATTTACACACTTGTGCCCTTTCTCCCTTTTAGAACCCAATGCTGAAGGCTTCAGAATCAAACCTACCCATGTTCCATGGAGCAGATTCTCACATTGGCCAAACCACATACTGGGTAAAATCTTACTATCAATTTACATCTAATACAAAGGGCATGCCTTAAATGAAATTTATTCCAGATTGATAGGCTATAACATTGATAAAGAGGATTTAACACCAGACTGAAAGCAAGTGAAGAAAGGTCGAAGTTTAACTTCCATTAAACACCAATATCTGCAGTTGAAAGGGTAGTGCCAAAAGCCTTCCATTAAGTACCTACAGGCCAGTAAATAAATGTGCTTATCTCATAATGGTATTTGAATTTGAACAGTAATGGAAATGTTAATAGCACTTCATTTCTATGTATTCTTCTGATTTCTTACTCAATTAATGCCTAGAAATTGCAGAATAAGGACCATTTTGTTCCACAAGGAGGAAGAAAACAACATTAAAGTTAGACAACGGAAGTTATTCTGACACACTGAAGAGCTTCAGAACATCAGGGACATCTGGGAAGCATATGTACAGCAAGCAGCTCAACCTCAGAACTGTATGCTACTGAAATTAGAGAGGTAAGGAAACACCATATTAAAACCCTGAATTCCAACCTTTAGATCTTGCATACTGCTGCAATTAAATAGATACACTGCATCTTTAAACTGAAAGTTACTTTAACAGGTAATTAAAATTAAGATATTTAAAGTAACTATTACTGTTCATCAGATTTTTAGAAAGATGTCTAGTTTTACATTTTCAGATAATCAAAGACTGCAGAAGAGTTTTACACTCAGCAGTTCCAAAAGATAAAAATGCAGGTCTTTCCCTTTAAACTACCCAGTACCAACACACAATGCCAGAAGAAATACAGAATGCAAATCATACAGCTCATAGGTAATTCTGTATGTTAATAAACTACTTAAAAATGTTTATCACGTGTTATCGATGTTATTGATCATTACCTGACCACCAAAAGATCAGTTTCCTATAAAAAAATATATTTAATTCAGATATATATACTACAATGAAGTTAGCTAAACAGGCCATTAAAGCTTAACAACTAATGCTAACCTCAACATGTTTCAGTGAGTCTTCTTTTATGATGGCAGTATAGGACCTGCAGATACCCTTTCTTTTAAGGTGAATTTGATCTGACAGAACATACTCTGATGTGGCCTAAGAGAGAAGCTGTGAAATTATCTGCACCGGATATTCAGAGCTTATGTCAAAGGAAGTAAACCAAGCTAAATTAATTGGATTGACCAGTTGGTCAACTCATTTTCATAATGTATAATAGAAATAAAGACTGCCACAAAAAGCGATTCTGCCTTCTTTTCTGAGCAAGTTAGTCCATAGTCTCCACAATATAAAGCCTTAAAATGAATTTCAATTACACTTCCAAATCCTATTTGGATAAAAAACAATAGATTTGCTTTCAGTTCTGTAGTAAGGTAACTTTGATATTTTACAAATCCATTTTTACAAATCCTTGAGAACCCATCAAAGATTCTCACAGTCTCAGCCATAACATCTGAAGCCATTCCTGATGCTGCAGAAATTGAAATACTTAAACTCCAGTCAAAATAAAAATCAGAATCAGTGTTTAACACCTGTAAAGTAGTATACAACAGCAACCAGGAATGGCAGAGTTAGAAAATCAACTTCTTATTTTAGTAATACATTTAACTACAAGTTTTTAATGAATCAATGATTCATCCTCTAAGCAATTTTTACTACATAGCAGAACACTGAACTTCAGCAGAGCGTTAAGTATGATACAGATCCATTTTGGTCTTTCCTGTGTAAATATAAGTCAAACCACATTTCTTCCATAGAATGAAATTATGAAATCTTCACAGAGAATAATTTCTCTTTTGGCACAGGTAAGAGCAATCATACTATAACAAAGGGAATCAACTGTACTACAAATGTTTACTTTGAAATAGAAAGCAATGTGATATACACTGCAAGTGTAGGTTTTCAACCTACTCCTGCTCTCCCATAAATAAAGATGCAGTTTATTTCTCAACAGGAGAATATTCTCAATCTTAATAATGAACTCTAATTAAAGGTGAACAAGTGTTGGAAAGATGAAGAAAAAAACATTTAGACAAGCTACTTAGACATGTCTGCTGAGAAGCAAAACAAAAAATGGAACAAATGAGATACCAAAGTTTACTTAAGCAGCAAATTTTATGTATGTCTTATTAAGAAAATGGGGAAAAAAAAAAAAAAAGGAATAAGATTTAAACATAACCACATTATTTTGGTTATTTACATAATAAAAATGAAAATACGGAGAGTTATATCCAGAAAAGACTGCTTTCACAGTGAAGATATTCATGTCAGTATGTGGTTTACAATTGTTCATATTCATTATAGTCATGGGTAAGCAATCATTAACTTGTCGAATAACAGATAAAAGGCAGCAATGCTGTTCAAAGTAGGTCATCTTCCACCTTATTCAGCTGATTTTCAGACTGTTTCATCATCACTCATGTCCCAGATCTGCAACAAAAAAGGAAGTGTAATTTTAGTTTGTGGAGTTCAAATACACTTTTAATATGCCTTTATAAAATTAGTATTACTATTTAAAAGAGACAGTAAATAACATTTATGGACTGTTGACTAGAACCAATGGCTTTTTATGATTTTTTGGAGGTTTACTTCATGGCAAATACTCTCCTTCCACTCAGTAAAGGCTTGTAGTAGCCAGGAAGAACATGCATACAAAGCTTTGAGCTAGATCTGGCTCTGAACTACTTGGTTCTAATCACTTGAACAGAAAAGTTCTCCTTTGCCAGCAAAATCTGCCACCAATAGGAAGATATTCCTTCAATATCTTTCAAATCCTTTTAAAAAAATTCAGAGTTCAACACAGCAATATTGAATAGTTAATAGAAAAATAGCTATAATTTTAATAAAAGTCCTTATGACAAAATGTAATGATTCTGGAATTTGAAATTGTTCTGAAAAAAGCTCTTAAAATCCAACCCCAGAAAGCAATTGCTCAAATATTTTTCTGCAGTGTTACAAACCATAAAATGAAAACTCTGAATGGCAGGATTTTTTCAATTCCTAGAAGCGTTGCAAAATGGTGGTGTAAATCCTTATGGAAAATACTGAAGGAACAGTTTGTTTACGAAAGGAAAATAGAGTTTTCATCCTGCCCTAGATGAGCAGCTTGGAGCTTGCCAAGGCAAACACAAATGTCCAGCTTACCAGTCAGGGTCAAGGATGTGGAAAAGAAATATGAAAAACAAAATCTTTAAATAGTGTTTATGGTATGATTCAAACTGGCAATAAGTAAGAAATTCAAAGTTCAGACTGATAGTCCATCTTTGTTGAGCCTAATTTTTGAGAACAAATCCCATAGATTTTAACCCCCAAAATCACTCCCAAAGAAAGGCAATAAATACTTCGATAAATGCCATGAGGTGAATCAAAGGCAAAAGTGAAAAAAACCGAGATCCCTAAAAGTCTTCTTTATCTACTAAGCAGATGCACTGGGAGCAGTGCCAGCTTCTCTGCTCTGTGCTTTCCCATCATCAGTTCTGATCTGAGCAGTGTGGGTGAGAAGGCAAGTACTTGCTGGTTTGTTTGTTTTTCACGAAGAAAGGCTGGTAAGGGTGCCAGTGACATGAGTAATTTTGTGATATGAAAATACCTCCATCCAGAAACTGTCTTGCTGTTCCATAGTTTCTGTAAACCTCAGAAAGCCTTTTGGCTCTACACACGTCATGTGCAATGCTTGCATTACTGTAACAATCCATCTGGCACAAAGAGCAGCTCGAACTACACAGTCATCTCTCTTTGCTGAAACCAAGGGGAAGAAGTGCAGGTTTGTTGTTGTTGTTTGTCCTTAATATTAAGGGCCCTTGTGAGGGCCTCAAGCAACTTGAAGATGTACAGTTCAAGCACAGCTCCTCAGCTCCAGCACACAGCCAACACTGCCTCCTAGGTAACCCAGGCTGCTGGCTGTGGAAGCAGCCTTACTTGTGAAATGTATTCTGCTATCTGAGTAAAATAAGCTAGGCATGGACACTGAAAAACTAAGACCCTTGAAATACAGCATTAGTAATAATAGCAGGAAAGTAAGAAGAAAAGAATAACAATTAAATAATTTTCTATCTAAAATACATATATTTCCTAAGAGTCCTTTGACACAAAAACATTTACTTCTTATGCACCTCTGCATAAGATGTTTAGAGTACGTGCTTCATGGCTATGCAAATTTTGGCTATTACTTCAAAGCAGTGAAATTTCTGCAGAACAGAAATTATGAAATACAGAAAGCCGTGGAAGATAAAGTCTAAAATGAATGTAAAGCCAAGAATCTGATGCCCAATTCAAGCCATGAATTTGGATTTTGCTTTCACTTCTCTTCTATCCTGCAGCACACCTGGGTTAGTCAATCTAAATGCAGCTACACGCGATGACAGGATTAGTCATAAAATAGGAAGATAATAAACCAGCTGTCAATGTCAACCTCCCTCCAACCCCTTAAAATAAATAAATAAAAAGCCTGGACAGACTACCTCAAAGCACCTGTTTTTTTTTCAAGCAGATGCTTTCATATCTGAACTTCTTTGCAGAGGTTCTTAAATGTCAGATGCAAACTATGCCTATTCAGGATAAAATAATTCCTGAAGCTCTTTTCTTAAAATGGCAAGTATAACTGTCTTACATCATAGGAAGAATAGGGAAAAAACCCTGTGTATTAATTCAACTGTTCACAAGTTCCCAATGGTTTTACACAGTTCCAGATGGCATTTTCAGTAATCCTTAGGAACAGAGAAAGAGTTTTGCATTTCCTTCCTGCAGCACTAACAGCTGGTACCTGAAATTTAACCTCCATGGCCATGGTTCCAAACTTAGCATTCACATATGGAAACAAGACTTGGCATCCTAGAATTAACATAAGTAACTCAAATAGGTAACTTCTGTTTATCTTATAAACAAACCTGCAAGAATACCAGTGCATCCTAAGAGGATTTCTAAGTTTCTTGCCAGCAATGATCCAGCAGCAATTGCACAGAATTGGCCACCTCATTAAGAGAGACAAAGCAAACAAACACACCACCCCCACACACTGCTTTCCACACCAAACTAAGATGAATTTACACACATGTGCATCAAATACACACTGCTTAGAAAACCTTGGAATACCTTTATGCAAACCTCAGTATTTACTGTTTCATAAATGCTCCAAATACGGTTTAGAGTAAGGAAAATTCTACTAGCAGAGGTGAGGCTGAAAATTAGATGTGACATGTAACAAACAGCACCCTTGGGTACCACATGAGAACATGCAGCTTCCCACATCAATTACATCTTATCATATCTTGCATCTTGATTTAGAAATGTACCCTTACTCAGGGAAGTGAAACAAATGATAAAAGAATATATTCAAACACGTTTAAATTTAAAGCAAATTATTTTATGTCTATACAACATGAGCTTTTTCACAGGCACGACGTTAAAGACGCTTTTATACATCCGAGCTTTTGACAATCTAATTCTACAAAGTATTTGTGACCCTTTACAGTATAATTCAAGGATCTAAGCACAGCAGGCTGCATCAACAGTCCTCGTGTGGCTCCTTCAATATTTTTCCTGGGTCAGGAAGAATACTGAATCCTTTCTGTTGCATCTTTCAGGAGTGCAACAGAAACAAAACTGTAACTTGAAATTCATTACATGTTCCAGTTCCAACATGCAGCTTTTTCAAGCTTTTCAGTATGGACTGAGGGATGCTAATTACAAAGTTCAGCACCCTCCTTTCATCTCAGATACCTGATGCACAGTAAGCACTACCCTTCATCTTACTGAAACTGAAAACAAACTTCAAGCGTTCTGCATATTAAACAATTCTTCAACCACCCCCCTCTGCACAAGGGGAAAAAAACATAAATGCACAATCAACACAGAGACAGCATTCTACAGCAGTGACAGTGTTTAGCTTTGCTCAGAACTCATACCCAGCTGCATGACAGAGCTTGCATAGCAAAGAAAATTATGTAGAGTGTGCTATCTAAGAAATGAAGGTAACGCACCTCAGTAAGCATTCCCTGCTGCTCCCAGTAGAAACAGCTTGCTTCGCAGTACTGGCAGTGGTTCCCCCACAAGAACTGTTCATCCAATCCACACTTACATGTCGTGCTTCAACAGTTTCCTATTTCTACAGGATACAGCTAGTTTTTGTGGGTTTTTTTTGGTTTTTTTTGTTTTTTTTTTCAGAACTGGTTGCTTACTTGCTATGACAAAACTAGCCAAAACCAGTTTTACCTTACAGTTTAGGCCATAGACATTCATTACACTCCATTCAACAAGGTGAGATATCCCAAATACAGAAGATAATTTTTCTAGATTCCTGTACACAATGCACATACCCTGCTTAGTCCACACTGATGACTAATTTCCGGCACTCATGCTATCAACACAAGTTTTCTTTTTTTCTGTCTTGGCCAGAAACTTCACAGTCTTTCCTGTTCAAATGGTTTCATACCTTGCAATAATATTCAACTACACCTACTTCATGCTTTTGTCCTTGGTGGTGTCTGACACGAGTTTTCCCTTTGTAGACATTGCAAAATTCTGCATTTCCAGCCAATAGCCACAGCTTAAAATCTAGGTCAAGGTCACAAGGCATCCTCATTTTGATGACAACCAGCACCAGTAATTATTCTCTGTGTTTCTTTTGCATGTGTGGCCTCACTTTTCATATGAACTGCAAACGTTAGCCCATTGATTTCCATCCTGGCAACTGTGGTATGTTAACGAGCCCTGTGATCACCTTTCAGGACTGATTTTCTCTCATGCCCTCTATTCTATCAAGATACAAGTATCCAGCATTTGATTTTTTATCCTTTTATTGTTTATTCCATTTTTGTATCATTTAGAGTGAGCACTAAGTGACCTAAGACCTAGGGACAGAGGGATCACACTTTTTCTCAAAACATCCTCTCCCATGGCAGGCTTTACACATCGACCAAACTACTTACACTTACTGCAACAGTTTGTTAAAAGGCAATGTCAGCAAGCTCCTTAGCATGTGATCTTAGTCAGCTTACACACTTGATACTAGACTATTTCCTGCAGAACTGGCATCTGAAGATTTTAAATACTTTCAAAAATATTTAAGCAGAAAAAAAAAAAAGGCAAGAAAACAACTACAGAAAATTTGTTTACAGTGTAAACTTCTGAGCTGAAAAATGTCTTCGGGTCTTCTAACTATGCTTCAAACAGGTACACAGAACACAGCATTCAACAGTAATTAGTATTTTTTTATTTTTACAGTTTTCTAAGGTATGTTATCAGATTCTTGTATGAAAACATTCATGAAAGCTGCTCATTTGCTTTCCACATGACTAGAAGATTCTATAACCATCCAATTTAAAAAAAAAAAAAAAAGTATACGAAGGTTTTTTTGCTGTTAAAATGCCTTTGACACATTTCCTTCCATTGTTTCTCTTTGTTCCAGGAAGAAACAAAGCAGAAAGCAAGCA